AATATTGCTAGGCTACTAGGAGTGTTGCATTCACAGTCTACACTACGCTGTAGGAATTTTTAATTTTTTAAAAATTAATTAATGAATTCATTTTTTGCGTTTTCTCTGTGTTTCTGCCAGGACCACAGGCAGGGCCACTCGCAGGTTGCTTCTGGGCCGCATTTGGCCCGCGGGCCGCCATTTGAATAGGCTTGGATTAACCCATACAAAAAAAGAGAAAAAAACCAAAAAAACCCCAAAACAAACAAAAACCAAAGAAAAAACCAAAAAAAAAAAACAACAATAAAGTGCTAGTGCTCATCCTTGTAGATTAATATTAACATTAATCAACATTAGTTAATATTGCTATTAATGACTACTTGCTCCTCGGTTGAAGTAAATTAATAATGCTGGAGTATCTTAAACGAAGTCTTATGAGGTGGAGCAGCCCCTGCTGGCAATAGCAGGAGAATTTGTGCACAGTCATATGGTGGACTACAAAGAGATTTCTCGTGCTGGTAACTTTTCTAAGTATTTAAGTAACGGTTTCCAGTAAGTAAAAAATCTATCTGACGAGCCTCTGAGGGAGAATTTTATCTTCTCCAGTTTTTGAAGTCCTAGGATGTCATGTAACCAGGCTTTGATTAATGATGGCTGAGATGATTTACACAACAAATTCTTTAAGGGCAACAAGAGAAGCAAAGGCAATAAGGTTATTTTGGATAGCTGTGATACGAAGGTTATTTGGTGGTTTGCCAAAAATAGCAATATGTGGAGTCGGAGTTAAATTTATACCTCATATATCTGAAATTGTTTTGAAGAATTGATGCCAAAATTCAGACACACACTGTGGAACCATCCTTTCACCTACACGATGGCGTACAAAGATCCTGTGTGATGTACCAAAGATTTCAAATTTTGATTCATCAGTCCATAAAACCTTCTTGATGCATTCTCAATCATCCAGGAAAACAAATCTCCAAAAGTTGATTCTTTTCATCTGGACGTAGCGTTTTGTGGGAGAAACGTTTCGTCATCATCCAGGTGACGTCTTCAGTCTCAGCTGAGGAGGGCCTAAGGGTACATCTGTCACCATCTTACAATGCTGTGATTGCAGCCATTCCCCAGCTCTCTGTGAATGGGACTCATGGACATTGATCAGTGGTTGTTGATCAGTGGTCATGAGAATTTGCATAATTATGATTAAGGAACTGACCTCCCAGCCCATTGTTCCATCAGTGGGCTGGTTTCAGTCATTATGCACATGTCCTGTTTATAAGATTGGAACCTGCAGTCAGCTGAGACTGAAGACGTCACCTGGATGATGACGAAACGTTTCTCCCACAAAACGCTACGTCCAGATGAACAGAAGCAACTTTTGGAGATCCATAAAACCTTCTTCCAGTCTTCAGTAGTCCATTGGTGGTGTTTCATGGCCCAGACAAGCCTCTTTGTCTTATTTTGACGTCTTAGAGATGGCTTTCTTGGTGCAGCTCGTCCTGTCAAACCTGAAGTTTTCTCTTCACAGCTGAAACTGAGACTTGCTCACTACGACCACTATTAAGCTGTGCTTGAAGCTGTTGTCCCGTGAGCCGCCATCACACAAGCTGTTAACTCTCAGAAACTTGTCCTCTGATTCAGTCGTGTCTTTGGGTCTGCAGACCTCAGTGCGCTCGATGGTGAAGGGAACTGTACTCACTGACACTTTGACTTTCTTTGCAGAAACCACATCACTACCTTTATACCATAAATGGAAAAACTGGGGTGTTCTAAAACATTTGACCGGTTGTGTATCTGAATCAAAAACAGCACGCTGCTAGCCAACCCTGGTTTATATATATGTTAGCCAAAACTTAAAGGAAGAGTGAAACACAGGTGCACACACACACACACACACACACACCAGATTGCACATGCAAGATACAAAACACACCCAAACCAACACTAAGTGCAGCTAGGCATGCATATATGGACACAAAACTTTGTATTCTCTTTAGATTGGATTTAGCAGACAAGGTAGATGGTCACATATGCTATTCATTAAAAAAACACATAAGGAAGTACATTAAAAAAGGGTGGCTGGTGCTATATATGCTTGATCTCTGTGTGATTTTTTTTCTTTTACCTGCATAAAATTCAGGACCATATACGGCTCCAACCATTGGATTCAGCTTCCAGCCTGCACAGGAGACACACATGCAAGCAAAACCGCACACACAGGATAAACGTTAGCATTGCTGCATGAAGCTGCACCTCTCTGCGGCTATATAACAAACCTTTTCCTTTAAATCACTTTGCTCTTATCTTTTGCAAATGCATCATTAATTAGAAACAGAATCACAACCCTTTAATTGTCATTAAACATCGGATGTTCAACAAAATTAGAAGCAACTCTCTGGTCGCGGCATTTAGAATAAAAAACAATAAAAAACAAATAATTGCTGACAATAAAAACAAATCTAAACAAACCAACTATGCAGATGTGCAACGTTTATACAAATGTGTTGCTCTGAAATATTGCACTCGTCTTGTGTGGTGGTGATGCGAATGTTTATGTGTGTGTCCTAGCCTTTTGTTTACCAAAGACAAATAAGAATGTCTGGCGGGGCAGTCCTGGGATGGTGATGAGGTCAAACATGTGAACAGCAGTACTGCATAGAAGGAACCTGGCTGTAGCACAGGGGGTAAAGCAGGTTGCCTGTTAGGTGGAAAGTTGGTGGTTCAATCCCTGGTACTAACCTCACAGTGTTCTTTGTATCCACTGGAGTGTGACTTTTAGCTAGAGTGCACCTCCATAGAAATAAAAAGTGCTTCGGTGAATGAGGCAAGTTGTATAAAGTGCTTTGAGTGCTAATGCAGACTAGAAAAGCACTATTTAAGAAGCAGTCTATTTACCATTTTTTGCTCCGTTGATATGAACTATTCAGTCTTTTTCCAATCACAGTGAAAGCTTCGTTCAGATTGCAAGCAATAAGTTAGATCCTTTCTGCGAACACTCTGCCAGGACTGAGGTTCTGTTGCCTTCTCCAGGTGGAGGCCTCTCTGCTCTCACACCTGAGTGCTTCATAGCTGAGTGTCTGAGCGGAGGCATCACTCCAGGCCAGAGAGGAGCCAATACCCCAAGTGGAGTTTAAGTATTTTGCATTTCTTTCATGAGGGAGGGAAAAGGGGAGCGGGAGAATGACAGACTGATTGTGCCACACCTGAAGCCACTGCATTGGTCTGTAGTGGAGAAGAGAAAGCTGAGTGAAGCTGCTGATTTACTGGTCAAGCTACATTCCAACTGCCAACAATGACTACAAGCTGTTCAGCTGCGTGGCAGGCACTGTAGGACCCAATTGCAGGACTCCGAGACAACAGACTAACTTAGAGAGACAGCTTTATTGTTATTTAGAAACTCTAAAAGAAATACAAAATACAATACTCAGAAAAGGAAGAAACTCGGAACCTGGAACTAGAAAAAGGTGGAAACTCTGAGGGAAAACTTGGAGGACACAGGGATACAAGAGGGAGAGCAAAGGAAGACTCAGACAACATGCTGTATACACAGCAGGTAAATGGATAATACAACTGAGAGGCACCATTAATAAAGACCATGAACCGAAGACTGTGGAGCTCAAACATAAAACGAACCAATAGAACAGGAGCACAAAAACAACCAAAAATGAGAAAAACCCTAAAACATCCCAAAAACTCAAAAATCTGAGTCAGTGATCCACAGACCATGACAGCTTTGGAAAGTGGCCGAAAAAATTAGATTTCAGATTAAAGTGGAGAAAATTAATTTTCTCTGAAGAGTGGCTGAGCTCTTTCTTAGCAAGAGTGTGAGGGAGATGGACTTCCCTGTTTGCTGTCCCTGTGATCCAAACATGGAGTAGAAAATGGATGGATGGATTGTATAGTGAACTTTCTTATCTGGACTGTCATAAACATTATCACTCTGCCTCCAGATGGAAGCATTTTAAGCATTCTTTATATGGTTTAAGGTAATAAACAATCAGTTAACTCGGTAACCCTAACTCTTGGTAAATTTTTCTCTTCTTTATTTTTCTTTATCACAAATGTCATCTTTCTTTCATGTTCTGAATGAAAAAAGAAAAAGTAATTATTGTACACAAAGTTAATTTGCTAAAAAAAAAGACATTGAGGGTGACTGACTGTAGCGCAGGAAGTAGATGAGGTTGCTGGTTCAAACCCTGGCTGCCCCCAGCCTGCATGCCAAATATCCTTGAATAAGATAGTAACCCCTCTGATGCATCTGAGCGAACTGTAGACTTTACAAACAGTGGATGGTCCTCTAGAGCAAAGGTGTCAAACTCCAATCTTCGATCAATATTAGTAGGTCATGCATGCTGCAGTAGCAACCCCTAACCCTACTCAAGTAAATTTAAATACATTTAAGTAAATGTTAAGTGTTTGGAAAATGTACTTCTAAAAGTACTTTTATTGCACCATGTTCATTCAGTCACGAGCTGCTGTAACATGGATCAAATGGCTGAACTGTCACCTCAGCATGCAGAGTCTATACAGTCTTGTAAATGACCTACTAATTTAATTAGATGTGCTGCTGCAGGGACACATGGAGAAGTTTCAGGACCCCGGCCCTCGAGCACTGGAGTTTGACGCCTGTGATCTAGACAAACACTGTGCAAACCCCACCTCCCCCACCGCCGCCCCAGCATACATGCTGGAGGTGTTCTGCGACACACGGTGATCCAAAGCCACACATATTGATGGTAAATGTGAAGTGGGCTTGATAGTAAAAGACTTTGAGGTGACAGACTGAAGAGACTACCAATAAAGATGTGTGATGTCAGGGCTCACTATGGCTCTGCACAAATAGGACAGAGGTGTGGTGTATCTGTAGAGGTACTAACACGTCTGACCACTCCCCCCCCCATTATCTGCTTTCTTTTCAGTGCTTTCTCCTTCCATCATCACAAAAGTGTGTGTAAGGGATGGAGGAGAGAAGCATGTACTCTAAAGGCCCTTCTCTCTCTGTTTATGAATGAGTCCTGGCTCTTTTTATTGGCTCTATTCCTTTATCCATTCACTGTGTCATCTATCACAGCATCATGCTGTGTACCACATTCTCCATCTACTTGAAATCGCTCCTCTCAGCTCTGATGGCCCTTTCTCTTTGCTGCTCTTTTCTTTTACCTTTTTACCGTCCATACGTGCTTTAGATTTCAGTTTGCTATTTGTGTTTGGTTTAATGCAAAATGTAATGCCTCTTGACAAATATTGGTTTCATTAATCAAATGTTAATTGGTTTGGCATTAAGGCACAATCTGGTGCATATTTGTATCTTTTAACCTTCATTCCACTCAAGCTTAGTCCATGAAAGGCTAATTGTTTACTTCTCCTCTCAAACAGCTCAAAAAGGTTCTTGTTAAAAACAGTGAAGAAAATGCAGAGAACTCATGATCAGGAGAAGAAGACATGAGAGTGGTAAAAACATGAATGGAAACTTTACCGTTTGTGTAAGGGTTAGCCATCTTTTTGTTCGTCATTACTCTGGCGGTGGCATTGTTCACCTGTCAGCAGACAAAAAAAAGGTGTATAATAAGACAGTGTAAGATATACAAAATTAAACATACACAAAAAAGCAAAAACTGAGCTTGCAATTAATAACTGCTAATAAAACCACTCTCCATGCAATGCTGGTATTTTGTCAATTCAACAAGTGAGGGTACATGCACTCAGTCTAATTGAAAGAATCAATCATAACATTCAACATCAGATAAAGAAAAAATACAACAGGGAGAAAAATTTATAAAACAAATTGTTGTTTCAGTGTCATATCTTAAAATATTTTGGGGTTATTTATGTTTCAAAATGCAGTTTCCATAATAATGTTAGTGTTCCTGTTTCTCTGATATGCATGCTGCTAATTCCACTGCTTTGTAATACTAAACAACATCTGACTTATATTCCTTCAGAAGGATATAACTTGCGTTAATGAAGAGCGCACTTATGAATACGGAAATTAGTCCCCTGTTCTATCCCCACTAACCTGTCAACTGATCACATGCATCTGACTGTCTCAACAGTATTAGGCTGCTCCACACAACAAAACCTGTAATGCTGGACAAGTTCAGCCCGAAAACTGATTCTGAAGAGGAAAACGGATGTTTATGACTCAGGGCTGGCATTATACACATTACACTAATCTGTGGTTGTTAGCTGTTTCATTATGTATCTTCTAGTTCAGAAAAAACTGTAATGACGGGTAACAAGATTAAAGCCTGAATATCACCTGTGATTTATTTTTACCTGGTCCCATTTCTATCTAAGAGCATAACAAGTTGAACTCACCCTCGTACACCCTTCATGCAACTGCCCGAATATCAGTTACAAGTATTTGCGACAAACTGGATGTAAATTGACAGATTTTCCAAGTCAGTATTTTCAAAGTAGAAGAACTTCGCATTTAGACATTAGTCTTAAATATTTTAAAACTGAAAATTATGAAGCGTGAAAAGACTGCAAAACTTAAACTTGAGGTGCCAAGGATAAGGAACTACCGGAGAATAGTTTTAACAAGGAGCAAAGGACTAGCAGTGGGAAAATACTGTAAAATACATATTTCTAACTTAAATAAAACACAAACACATAACACAAAGAAAAAAAGAAAACAAATCTCATGCACATGGCACAGGCACAAGTATACGTGAGAGGAGGCAAAATGTATCAAAAACACTACCACAGTGCTGAATCGGTGTCTTTCTCACACACGCACACTTACGGATCAGGTTCAGCATGCAGCGTTCAAGGTGCAGCAGGCAGGGAGAGAGGTGGAGGAAATGATGAAAGAAAAGAAGAAAGGGGTGGAGTAAGTGAGGAAAGTGGGGAGTATGTCAGGAAATATTAGGCAAGCGAAAAAGGGAAAGAGATTCAAGGGGAGGAGAAGGGGAACAGCAGAAGAGGGGGAAAGGAGTAAAGGGAGACAGGAAGCACCTCTATTTTTCGTCCCTCTACGATTGTACCATTTAGTTTCTCCCGTGCATGGTCAGCATCTGCACTGGTTTCAAATGTTACAAACCCAAAACCCTGCAGTGGCCCGGAGGTGGGGTTGAAAAATCAAGCAACAAAAGAAGGACGTCCAGAAGTAAGATGATGAAACAAACAGGGAAAGATAGAGAGAAGAAAAAGACATAAAGGACAGATGAGAGAGCTTCAGGTCTGAATCACGCAGAAAAGCCAGAGAGACGTCACGCTGATCACACAAATATGGGAAACAGCTGGAGTCACACTGAAGAAAGGTGGAAACACAGGACTTAGATGTTCATGTCATTATATATACGTGTGTTGTTGTGTGTGTGTGTTTGTGTGTACACGCGTACGTGCGCATAGTTCTGTTCACTTCATTTCAGTTTTATTTATATAGTGTTAAATCACCACAACCATTGCCTTGAGGTGTCCACAAATAGAGATAAAACAGAGAAAACCCCAACAATCATACGACCCCCCATGAGCAAGAGCTTTGGCGGCAGTGAGAAGGAGAAACTCCCTTTGCACAGGAAGAAACCTCCAGCAGAACCAGAGTCAGGGAGGGGCGGCCATCTGGCACGAGTGCTTGGTTGTGAGGGGAGAAAGACAGAACCAAAACATGGTGTGGAAAAGAGCCAGAGATTAATAATAACTAATGATTACATTCAGAGTGATGTGTAAGCACATAGTGAGTAAAATGATGAATTAAAAAGAAACAGTGCATCATAGGATGCCCCTAACAGCATAGGCCTAATGCAGTGTAACTAAAGGAGAGCTCAAGGTCACCTAATCAAGGCCTAACCTAAAGTTTTATCAAAAATGAAAGGTTTAAACCCAATCGTAAAAGTGGAGAAGATGTCCAAAGTGTGAGCTGCTATCACAGAACAGGGGTCTCAGTGTCATGCTTAGTCTTGTGGCAGGCAGGATGTAGGACCCAAATGCAGGACTCGAGACACGTGGGGATGAACTAAAGGAGGTAGCTTTATGGCGCTGTGAAAAACTCAAATACTAAATACAAGAAACAAAGCATAACACCTAGAAACTAGGAAACCAAGAACCCAGGAAACTAGAAACAAAGAAACTAGAGATTAGGAGTTGACGAGAAACAACAATGGAAAACAGGAGCACTGTGAGGTAATGATGCGACAACGGGCAGAGAAAAACACAGGGCTTAAATACACAAGGGAGTAATGAGGGAATGAGACACAGGTGAAGAGCACAGCTGGTAATCACACATAACGAGAAGGAGGGGAAGCAAAAGTGAAAACAGTGAGTATGGAGCCAGACTCTCAAAGTAAACCAGGAAACATGAGAAAGCATAAAGACGCAGACGTGACATTGAGACATGGAGACATGACAGACTGGGGACACATGGAGACAAGCGTGACGGGACATAAAACGTGCAACATGGAAAGGCATAGTAACAGAAAGCTAAAGACTAGAAGCTAACATACACGAAGAACAATAAGAACCAAACCCATGAATCAAATCTAAATCTAAATCAAAGAATATAAATTAATCAAAAAACACAACACTGGGTCACAGACACAGTGTTGTGACACTGAAAACTGAAGGCTCTGCCTCCCGTTCTACTTTTAAACACTCCTGGAACCACAAATAAGACCACAGTCTGAAGCGAAGTGCTCTGTTGGGGTGATATGTTATTATGAGGTCAATGCGATGAGAAGAATTTTAAATTCAATTCTGGATTTATAAGTGAGCCAATGAAGATACGTCAGTATAGGAGAAATATGCTGTCAGTATTCTTCTGTAACATTTTGGATCAACTGATGTCTATTAGACAGATATGATTCAAACCACCACGACACAGTACCTGTAATACCTACAGCGTGCTATAATTGCAGAAATAAAATATAGACAACAGTATCGAACGCTGCACTGAGGTCTAGCAGGACAAGCACAGAGATGAGTCCACTGTCAGAGGCCATAAGAAGATCATTTGTAACCTTCACTAAAGCTGTTTCTGTGCTGTGATGAGCTCTGAAACCTGACTGAAACTCTTCAAATAAACCTCTGCAGATGATCTGTTAGCTGTTTGACAACTACTCTTTCAAGGATGTTTGATATGAAAGGAAGGTTGGAGATTGGCCTATAATTAGCTAAGACTGCTGGGTCTAGAGATGCTTTTTGAGTAAAGGTTTCAATGCTGCCAGTAACGGCAGGACTTCTTTGAGCAATCTGGCAGGATTGGGGTCTAAAAGACATGTTGATGGATTAGTGGAACTAATTAGTGAAGTTAACTCAGAAACATTTAAATTTTGTTTGTGAAGAAGAAAAGAGCAATTCAAATCTTCCTGGTAGAAGAGAGGGTTATTTCTCTGCGCCTTTGGGTTGGGGAACGGGTTATGACGGTCGTCTGTGCTTATCAGCGAATGATGGTTCAGAGTACCCGTCCTTCTTGGAGTCCCTCGGCAGGGTGCTGGAGGCTGAACATGAGGAGTCTGTTATCCCACTGTGAGAGTTCAAAGCTCATGTGGGCAATAACAGTGAGTCCTGGAGGGACATGACTGGGACAATCGGCCTGCCAGATCTGAACCTGAGCGGTGTTTTGTTACTTCTGCACAAACCACATTTTGTCCATCACAAACACCATGTTTGAGCATGAGGGTTACATGTGGCAACAGGACACTCTAGGCCAGCGGTCCCCAACCCCCGGGCTTCGGACCGGTACCGGTCCGTGAGTCGTTTGGTACCGGGCCGCGAGAGTTGAGGCTCAGGTGTGAAATGTATAGTTTTCAGGGTTTTTTATCAGTTTTCAGCATTATTTTGTTATCGTTTTTATCGTTAACTCGGTTTTCCTGGGTCTTTTCACGTGTGTTATGAATAAATCTTCTTTTTTCGGTACCGGTACTAGTTTTATTTTGTTGTATTTATCCGCGACACCTTAAAGGCCGGTCCTTGAAAATATTGTTGGCCATAAACCGGTCCGTGGCGCAAAAAAGGTTGGGGACCGCTGCTTTAGGCCACGGGTTAATGGTCAGTTTTGTAATTGTATCAACAGATCTGGGGCCATATGTTTTGGACACTCAGGTAAAGAGAGGGGCTGAGTTGTCAACTGATCGCCACCTGGTGGGGAGTTGGATCAGGTGGCAGAGGAAGATGCTGGACAGACCTGGTGTGCCTAAACATACAGTGAGGTGTGAGGAGTGAGTCAGTGACCTAAATTCCTGAAGGCCCTGGATGTTGTACGGCTGTTTTAATTGACATGCCTCTACAATGTTGAGTGGAGATCAGGGGTGGAACCTCTGGGTGTGTGCCAACTACAGGGGGATCACACTCCTCAGCCTCCCTGGGAAAGTCTATGCCAGTATGCAGGAAAGGAGTGTCTGTCCGTTAATTGAACCTTGGATACAGGAAGAACAATGCGGTTTTCATCCTTGTCGTGTAATACTGGAAGAGCTCTTTATCCTCTCAAGGACACTTGGGGGTGCAAGGAAGTTTGCCCAACCAGTCTACATGTGTTTTGTGGACTTTCAAAATGCATTCAACCATGCCCCTCGGAGTGTCCTGTAGGAGGAGCTTTGACAGTATGGGGTGTCTGTCCCATTGTTATGGGCCATTCAATCCTTATACAACCATTGCAAGAGCTTAGTCCACATAGCCGGCAATAAATCGGAGACATTTCCAGTGGGTGATGAACTCTTCCAGGGCTGCCCTTTGTCACCGATTCTGTTCATAACTTTTATGGACAGAATTTCTAGGTGTAGCCAAGAAAGGCTTCCACTTGGGTGGTTTCAGAATCTCATCTCTGCTTTTTGCAGACGATATGATTCTGTTGGCTTCATCAGGCGATGGCCATTCACAGCCGACTGTGAAGCAGTAGGAATGAGAATCAGCACCTCCAACTCTGAGGCCATGGTCCTCAGCTGGAAAAGGGTGGAGTGCCCACTTCAGGTCAGGGACAAGTTCCTGCTCCAAGTGGAGGAGTTTAAGGATCTTGGGGTCTTGTTCACAAGTAACAGGAGAACAGGAGATTGATAGACAGATTGGTGCTGTGGCTGCAGTGATGTCCGTCGTGTTGTAGAGAGAGCTGAGTGTAAAAGTGAATCTCTCATGTGACAGGGATGCCTCCTGGGCACCTCTCGTGTAAGGTGTTCAGGGCAAGTCTCACTGGGGGGAGGCCAGATCCAGGACATGCCGGAGAGATTATATCTCTCGGCGGGCCTGCGAACACCTTGTACCATACCACCACATTAAAGGAATGCTTGGCTCAACAGAGCCCCGATTTTTGTGTCAGTCTGGCTACAAGACAAACCGATCAATGGTACTTGAAATTGTACTTGCTCATAGGTGTTCCAATGATAATTGAGATTCTCTCTCCAATAGTGTAGGATCTTTCTCTTGCAATCAAAAGCACCTTGAGAAAACTTTTGTTGTCAAAAAGTGCAACATAAATAAAACCGAAGTGAACCTGTAGCTCCACCTTTAGGTTTAGACCAGGGGTGTCAAACTCATTTTACATTGCGAGTCACATTTAGCCCCTTTGATCTCTTTCTGTCAGTGCAAAAAAGATACATATTTAACAGTTTTTCTACATGATGAAGGAAAATTTGCTATGACAAAGAACTCTTTGAACTTTAACAAAATAAATGTGTAAAATTACAGAAAAAGTTTTGGTAGCTCATTACGTGGAACTATACAGTTTTTTGTTTTTATTTTTATTTTTTTTGTAGTTGTAAAAAAAAGACATTTCAACAGAAACTTTTCTGTTTTTGCACAAAGTTACAGAGTTTTTATTAGAGACAGAGCTAAGTGTTTTTTAATTTGGCATAATTTGCAAAAGTTGAAATTTCTTTGGTGTTTAATAGCAGAAATGAGTCTTTCTTGTCAGATGTAATTTCTGGGGGACAAAAAGAGCGACTGGCAACATTGCACACAGCAGTGGATTGGGGTGTATTAAGCAAGCAAATAATGCAGAAAATAAAGATTTTTGGTGGAAATTAAACTGAGAGATAGAGCTGTGCAGGAATTTATTGAGGGGAAAGGAAGAAAGCAAAAGTAAGAATGAATTCATTACAATGTTACTCAAAGATGAAGTGTAGTTTTGATCTTCTTTGCTGCTGGTTCAGTGAAACCTGCAGTTTCAGAATCAGTAAAATGTCAGCACCTGACTGCATGTCCATATGTGTTTTGCCACGCTTTGTGTTTACATCTTCTTGCGGAATCTGTACCTGCTCTTTAATCATTTGCTGTTTTAGCTGTTTGGTGGTTGTTGACATGGTTTTGTGGGCTTTTAGCTGAGATTCTGATGCTTCTGTGGATATCACACTTCTATATTGGAATAAAAGATCTGATGGTTCATTCTGTTAAACCACCTGTTCTCGCTTTCGCCTCGCTATCGGTGGCATTGGGTTCCAACAAGTCAATTGTTTATTGCCTAATTACTGTGTGTAGTATGAATGGTCATGGGAGGTTTTTATCAGTAGGAAAAGCTGTAAAACTTGAAAATACAGTTAAAAGTCCAAAACACATGCTTGTGCTTGTTTGTGATTAGCAGCAAATCAAACAGGTTAAGAATAAAAATTGCTTCAAGTGGTCTCTTCCTCACTTGCTTATTGGGACGATCCTGCACTTCTCCACAACTGGTGCTGGTACATTAAATTCTGTTCAACAAGGTGCACGAGCACACAGGGGAAGTATGGGAGGAGGTTGGGTTGGACAATCCAGTGTTAGGAATACATATGGACTAATAGGCTGCTTTCAGTGTGCAATGACTGGTCTGTAGTCTGTACAATTAAATCGAGAAAAGAATAAAAAATCATATTAACCCATCGGCTAACAAATGCGTCAGCATACTGGGCAAATGCGCAGTATACAAGATTACCAGTCCAGTTCTGCCATGACACGAAGAATACTAGAATCCTGCTGTCATCTTAAAAAAATAGCAAAGATTCATTGTTTGTCCAAATGTACGGCAGGTAAGTAAAGTGCCGAAGCCGCCCGGAGGAACATGTCGCTGATAGGACAGTAATTACTGTTAGGCAGCAGGAATGAGCTGTGATGACAATGAGAGAAGTGAAGGACTGCAAGAGAAACACAGGAAACGGGACAAATACAATCAGCAGGAACATTTTATGTTTGTTTGAGGTGTGTTCGTGAACGTTTTATTACATTGCACTTACCTTGGAGCCTCGTTCATTAAAAATAATCTCCACGTCTAAAATCTTTCCAAATTGCTGAAGAAGGGAAGAAGGTGGGTGGGGCATAAAGACAGAGAAAGAAAGACGGAGAAAATAATTAGACTATAACACAAGAAATACTTTATTTATGTTTAGGAAAATCCCCTATTGCTTTCTCCAGCTGGAAAATGAAGTATTTTAAAACCATCTTTAAAAAAAGACAAGTAGTCTGTACCAATAGTAGCATTAGGAAATTATCCATTCACTCTTAGTGCTGTTTAATCATGTGTTTGGCTGATCATAGTAATAAAGAGGTTTGAGTGAATATGTCTGCACTCGAGAAAAATGAGCACAGTGGGAAGGTAGTAGGCAGTTGAGTAGCAACACCCCATCATGGCTATTTGTTTTCTTAGTATGCATACCACCACTGCAACTGCCTGCCAGATCTCACCTAATCATGCATTTGGCTTCTACAGCTTCCCACATAGCAAAATGGATCTGGCCCACACAATGTGCTTACACATGGCCCAAATATCGCAAAGAATGATGGCCCTTTGGTGGCCCACATCTGGTGGCCAGTGGTGACCCACACATGGGCCAGCACAAGGCCAGGTGCAGACACACTGCTAGCCCTGTGCTGACTCAGAACAGTTTCAGCTCTGGCCCCAGATGTCAGCCTAATGTGTACCTTAATCAAGCCATGTAATAACAACATGTGCCAGAACATAATAGTGCAAAAGCAACATGACAAAACTCTGTTCAGACAGTGAATGGACTGATTCTTATATAGCGCTTTTCTACTCTCACAGATTACTCAAAGTGCTCTATACAACATGCCACATTCACCCAAACACACACTTTCTCTAAACTGAGTGCTTCACGACTACATTCATACACATTCATACTCTTGACATGCAGACTGGAGGAGCCAGGGATTGAACCACTAACCATCCAATCAGTCGGTGACCTGCTCTACCTCCTGAGCTACAGCTACCCAGTAGTAAACATGAGTAAACCCTCGCTAGGTTTTGGATAAAGTGTACACTCACAAACCTGATAAACCTGCATTTGAAACGTTGGCTACCATAGCAGTATAGTATTGCAACATGGCATTTGGGTCTTCTTACTAAAATAGGAAAATAGGAACATAAATAGTGCCATCATTGCCAGACCTGGCCCACATCTGGTTGACATACACCCTGCCATGACACCAGTCAGTCAGAATGCTATGAGCCTGGGCCACATCAACCAACCACAATCAGGCCAGATGTGGCATGCCATCACATAAACAGTGTCATCTACGCCAGGCCTGGCCCATATCTGGATGACATATCACTTACCCATGCCAGAAGTCAGCCAGCAGTGCAGGCTTGACACCAGGTTCGGGTCAGACCTGGTCAGACCTGTCTGCTATGTGGGCTATCTTTAGATCTAAGTAATAGTTTTAATTAGCTCCATGTTTCATTTTATTTGGCTAATTGCTACACACTCCGACACACTGATGTCTGTGGTGAGTGTGAGACTGTCAAAAATATAAATACACTAAACATGTAAACACACCAGTATCTGCAGCAGGAACAACTGTAATTTGAGCTATTCTTGGCTAGGTTATACAAAAGCGAGTTAGGAAAACATGCAATTAATTTGAACTGTAAAGTATTTGGGGCTGATTTATGGACCCATCCAATACAATAGAATTCTAAACAACTTTTTAAAAACAACAGTGGACAAAATACTGTACAAATCACCAAAAGAAAACAAGACAAAGCAACACAAACAATAATAAATACAAGGTAAGATCGTCAAAGGAGCTTGCAAAGAAAAGCGTCTGGACTTCTTTAAGTTGCTTGAAGACGTTTCACCTCTCATCCGAGAAGCTTCTTCAGTTCTAAGGTCAAA